TTCTCATATCCCTGTGAGGAGACCAAGCACCCTTAGTTGTCACCACTGGTGCCAGGGATGGAATGAGCAGCCAGCCAGCCAGTCATCCCTGGTCTGCACCCCAACCTGCCATCTTTGGTCTTGTGTAACTTCCAGGGTCCTGTTCTTTGTATGTAGTACCTGGCAGGGGCACAGGCCTGTGCAAGGATGAGGGAAAAAACCCTAGAGATGTTCAGTCAGTCTCATTGTCCAGGTGAGGGAAGGAAACCTGAGAAATAAAGAGACTTATTTGAGGTCAGATGATGGGTCAGAGACATACCTAGGCCAGGCCTGCTCTCACCCCAGCCAGGGGTTCCTCTCCCTGCCTTGGCCTGCTCTGGCAGCCCCTGTGCCCCTCTCCACCTGCTGGGTGTGTATTATGGGGGGTGACATGGGGGCAGTGGGATAGATTGTCCAGGAGAAGCTTTCCTAGGGCTACAGGGTGAAAAGCTGCACTTTTGGTGTCCCCTGAGAGTGAAGGGTATGAATAAGCATTTCTTTAGGTTTAAGTCATTACTAAAGGATGAATTTAGAGTATCTTTTCTTCCTGTTGTCATTCCTGGTGCTTAATACAGAGATTGGGGACCTGGGAATTCTCTGTTCATCCATCCTTCATCCCTCTTGATTGCAGACTTGCCAATCTGCTCTGCCCCACCCCCACCATCCCAAGGGCATGGGGTGAGGTGCATGCTAGGGTTGTCCATCTGTGAGTGTCCAGGGCTAACCTGTACCATCATGAGAGAGAGGGTGCAGGGTGACTCAGGACACTGCCTCTCCACAGAAACAGGCCTCCCTGTGGGGAGGGCTGGTGAGGGAGGGTAGTGAGCTCAGTGGTCTGGGGAGGAAGCAGACCCCAGAAGCTTTTTCAGCTCCCTGAAGCTGTACCCCCAGCTAGTTCCCTGACTCCTAGCTTGGTGAAGCTGGATGAGCCCAGAGGGGGCATCTATTCTCTGTTTCCCATGCTGAACTGGTGCAGCACCAGGCTGGGTTATGCCAATGGCTTCGTCTCCCCCAGCAAGTGACACCTTGCTTGGTGGCCTATGGAACTGCAGTTTGGGAAATGTTGATTTTGTCCCATGTCTGGGTGTTATAGTGAAGGGCAAATGGCTCATTCAAGGAAGGCCAGAGCTGGAATCCAGGTCTCTGTACTTCTTGGCTGGTGCTTTTGCACCCCCATCCCCCGAGGGTGATCCCAATGAGGCCAGTTTCATCCATCTGGCCATTTGGTGTTCTCTGGGCATGGCAGGCTGGAACACAAGAAGAAGACAGCTGTTACCTGTAGGGCCAGGACTAGGTGGAATGCATCCTAGTTGGAACAAGGATGGCAGTTGGGGGAGTGGTGTCCACTGTTGTGGGATGCCAGCATGGGTCGCTCTCCTAGGCATGTTTCAATCCCAAGTCTGGGACTCCTTATGGCACAACTCTCATGTGTCGATGCTGCTAGAATACGCAGAGCCCCTTTATTCCAACACCATGTTGCACATCATCATTCAGGTACTTACCCCATGTTTATTGTGTCCTTACTACTTTTTAGGTTTGTTTCTATCTAGAGCAGGGGTTCTCAACCTTTTAATGCTGTGGCCCTTTAATACAGTTCCTGTGGGTTGTGACCCACAGGTTGAGAACCACTGATCTAGAGGACTTCAGGCAGGCATTTTGTCCTTGTCATACTTATAATCCAGTAGGGGAGGTGAGGAATCTTATAGGTACGTAGCTGTACCTGTTCAAATAAGACACACAGAAGTGTCATAAGGGAAGTGTGGGAATAGTGAGGTGGGATCAAAGGAAGAGATTATCTTGAGCTGAGTGATGAGGAAATGTTTGCAGATGGGGAACATGTGAGTGTGAAGAAAGTAGGCTTCAGACATGGAAGGATGACAGGAAGGGAACAGACAAAGGACTCAAGAAGTCAGCAGCATGAGGCTCTAGAAGACCCAGGAAAGGGGCCGTGGTTCTGTCTTTTATAGGGCAGGCAGATGGAAACAGGGCCAGGTGATCTCTGTGGGAGTTGAGGCTGGGGTGAGGTGTGGAGGCCAGGAGGGGGCTTAGGAGGGGGCTGAGGGAAAACCCACATGGCAGTTGGTGGTGGGAAGGGGTGACAGGAGAGGGGCTGATTAGTCAGCCATGGCAGAAATGGGAGTGGCAAGGACTCAGGCACCGGGCGGGAGAAGAGAGAAGGGTAATGGGCAGATGCTGGAGCAGAATACTAGTCATCTTGCTCTTGTGAGCTGGGACAGGGCAGGGGGCTTCCCAGTCTTCATGGAGATCACTGGAGGAATGATCTTGCCAGGAAAAGACATTGGGAATGTGAGAGGGTAGAACAGATGTTATTTAGTTATTTATTTAAGACAGTTTCACCATGTCACCTTTGGTAGAGTGCCATGGCGTCACAACTCACAGCAATCTCCAGCTGTTGGGCTTAAGCGATTCTCTTGCCTCAGCCTCTCAAGTAGCTGGGACTACAGGTGTCTACCACAGTGCCTGGCTATTTTTTGTTACAGTTGTCATTGTTGTTTAGCTGGCCCAGGCCGGGTTTGAACCCTTCAGCCTTGGTGTATGTGCCTAGCGCTGTAACCACTGTGCTACTGGCACCGAGCCAGAAAAATAGATTAACGGTTTAGTTTGGGTTGTTATGAATGTTGGGTGGACATCTGTCTGGAAAGAGTTAGTGGTAGGTAGAGCAGTGGGGTTGGAGCTTGTGAAGAAAGTCAGGTCTGGGCATCTGGGAATGAACTTCACTTACATACAGATGGGAGTGAGGATTTGAGGTCACTGAGAGAGATCTAGCAGAGGGAGGGCAAAGAAGAAATTTGAGGACTGATCCTTGAGGGATGCTGGATTTGGGGAGCAGGAAGAGGAAGAAAATGATAAATGAATTTTGGAAAATGGGAGGGGATCCAGGAAGAGAGGGACCTGGAAGTCAAGGGAAAGGACT